TCTAGTTTAATGTGGTTCAATAAACTATAAGTTACATATATAAGATTGAATTTTCTACTAGCTACTTTATAAGAAGTAAAAAGAAACAGGTAAAATTAATTTTAATAATATATTTGTTTACTTCTGTGTTAGTTCTTATGCTGCTAATAAAAACACTCCCAAGACTGGGTAATTTACAAAGGAAGGAGGTTTAATTGACTCACAGTTGGGAGGCCTCAGAGAACTTAGAATCGTGATGAAAGGGAAAGCAAACACATCCTTCTTCACATGGCCACAGGGAGAAGAATGAGAAACAAGTGAAGGGGGAAGCCCCTTAAAAAACCATCAGATCTTGTGAGAACTTACTATCACCAGAATGCCATGGGGGAAACCATCCCCATGATTCAGTTACCTCCCACTGGGTCCCTCCCACAACACATGGGGATTATGGGAACTACAATTCAAGATAAGATTTGGGTGGGGAGACAGCCAAACCATATTACTGTCTTTGAAATACAGTGTGTATTTGCACTTATAGCATACCTCCATTTGGGATGCTAAATTTTCATTGGAAATAGTTGATCTCTTGAGATTTTATATAATTTCAAGTTGAAAAAGTAGATTCACACACCCAAGTCATTCCAAGCATACTTAAAATTTTTCCAATAATTGAAATTAAGTAAAATTTAAGTTTCTCAGTTGCACTGGCTTCACTTTAAGTGCTTAGTAGCCACCTGTGGGTAGTGGCTGCCATATTGGACATTTCTACCATTGCAGAAAATTCTGTTGGACAACTGAGGTCCAATTCAATTCACCAAAGAAACTGAGCAGTAGCTAGTGGCAGAAGCAGGACTAGAAGCTTGTTTGCAAGGCGTTTTATAGACAAAACACACACACACACACACACACACACACACACACACACCCCAAACAAAAACTCAGAACACCAACCTTTCAAAAGGCAGATAGTCAACTGAATTTGAAAATGTGGAGGACAATGTTTATAAAGGTTTTCTAGAAAGAATTCACTTTGCTTATATGTATGCTTATATATGATCACAAATAAGATTTAAATCAAACAGCTTAGAATATGGAAGTGTTCAGGTAATGTTTAGTGAGGGACTTGTTTATCACGGTAAAATACAAAGAATATAAAAAATTTTAACCATTTTTAAGCATGTAGTTCAGTGACATTAAGGGTATTTACACTGCTGTACAATCATTACCACCACCCATCTCTGGATATTTTTCATGTTCCCAAACTGAAACTCTATGCCCATTAAATGCTAACTCCCTATTCTTCCTTCCCTCCAGCCTCTGGCAACTACCACTCTATGAATTGGATTATTCTAGCTACTTTGTATCTGTGAAATTATACAGTTGTCCTTTGTCTGGCTTATTTCACTTAACATATGTCTTCAAAGTTCATCCATGTTGTAGCATGTGTCAGAATTCTCTTCCTTTATAAATCTGAATAATATCCCACCATATATATAGTGGCACCACATTTATCCATTCATCCATCAGTGGACATTTGGGTTGTTTTCACATTTTGGCCACTGTGAATAATGCTGCTATGAACATTTGTGTATAAATATCTGTTGAAGTAGTGAGAATTTTTTTTCATCCTTTATCATAAACCTATTCATTAAGCTTGCACAATTTACAAATAAGTAGCAGTGGAAATGCTGCTTCACTGGAAAACCCCAACTCAAGATCCCTGAATAGAAAAAGAGACTCTCAGTTCTATCATATTACTGAGAAATTACAAAGTCTGCTTTATTTTCTTGTACTAAGACATTTTAGATGTTCATACTGTATTAGCCCTTCTTGCCATCTGATATACCACATATTATGTTTCTGTTGTTTACATCTGCCTTTAGCCCCCTCTACCAGAAGGTAAATTCTGAGGACACAGATTTTTTTTTCTTCATTGCCGTATTCTTGGTGCTTAGTACTGTGCCTGCTACAAAGAAAACAGTCAATATAAGATCTGTGAATGAATGAATGAATGGTGTCCAAGTGTTATCTACCTCTGTGTTTATTGGGTATCATTTTAAAGGGCTCTGGATTTGTCTTCTTATGAACATCTTAGTATTGGTTTTACTAGGCTATAGCATTCTACTCCAAGAAAATGTTTATAAGTTCTATAGACCTTAAAAATGTCTGGAACAAGGTATGAAAAATAATTAAGTGATATTGGGAAATGAAAGAAGATAGAGATGTTCTAGACAAAATACATGAAAGGAATTTGGTCTCCCTCTAATTTAACTGCATTGGTCCCAAAGTGGTATTGTATAAAACATCAGAAAAATTTCTGCTTTGATAACCTAGATTTAGGGAGAAATGACAAAAAATCCTTTGACTTTTACAGTGGAGGTTGAATGACCAGTTACCATAAAAAAGAAACAAACTAAGTCATCACTTTCTAAAGTAAGAGCATTTCATTGTTTCCTCTTAGTGCCACTATGTACTGGTTTTTACTGTAGTCAATCTAGATATGACTGTGTGGACCATAGTCTCTTTGAGATGTGAATGTGAGTTTTAAAAACAGCAAGAACTTTAAAACATTACTATAACCTAGGAGACCTGGTCCCTTTTCTTTGTAAGCAGGGAAACTTGACTCTGTGAGGTAAAATGATGTCCGGAAGCATTTTGAGCCTCTGGTTTTGTTGGAGTCATTTTCCTTTTCTTGGATTTTGGTAAGGATATAATCTCAGATCCAGTTAGAAAGGGAGATCACAATACCAGGTGTCAAATCCACAAATCAATCCTCTTCTTAATTGCCAAAGTTTGACACATCCCTGTGTTTGTCCCAGAAAGCGCTAAATGCCCTTTTATTAACAACAGGGAATTAAATTTCCCATATAGACAAATTAACTTCTAAATTATAAGAGAAACAAACAAAAACACACACGGGACGGGATGGGGGTGGGAGGGACCCTTGTTCCAACTTGAAGGTTTCTCACAGTAATCTCTTCTCTTTCTCCTACGTATTTTTTTCCAAAGACTTTCCTGCTTGAACCCATCAACTTGTTATTACCTTCTCTGAAGAATAGGTTTTGGTCAGCAACTCTTTAAAAAAGATACCTCTTCCACTGTAATTGGTATAAAGAGATAAAAAAAAAAAATAGGTGACTATTGAAATGTAGAGGGTTTTAAACCATGTAGCTATTAACTTTATATTTGGGCAGTGCGTGAAAAGGAGAACTCCTTAGTGGGATTGAAAACTTTATTGTGTTTTAAATAAAAGACTAACTTAAAAGAAAAAGATGTGAATTGGCTTAGAGTAAAAAGATGATACACTAATGAAAGGAGAGGGAAGACTATATTTTGTAGCTAAGCCAAATTTATGGCCTTGTGCATTAGCTTTTTGTACGCTAAAAACCTAGCTTAATATCTTCCTCTTGAAAAGGTGATAGCAACCCTTGGTTTCTGTCTCTCTGTCTCTTACACACACACACACACACACACACACACATGCACACACACTGTGTGTCTCCAATTATCTCAGAAGTGACAAAATAATCTCTAATTTTGACTCAAAATAAATATGCACATATATTCACTTAATTTTTTTGTAGAAAAAGGGGGATGGTGCAAAATAGCAAAAATTGTAAACAAAGTTAATCTTCATCTAAACCTTAAGCTGACAATTTCAAACACCTTGCGCATAATGCAGAAAAAAACCTGTCCGTTTGACTTCACTTTCATTCACACTGCTCCCTACGCATGAGAAAGACCAGATGTCTGGTTTCCAGAGTATAAGCCTTTTTCCTTAGTACTTAAATTTTATTTTTTTCAAGTTTAAAGAAAAACTGCAGCTCCTTCTGATCTTTGGCATTTTATAGTTTAATAATTTCATATAAGCAGAAGTGTTTCAGCAGAAAATGAGCTTTAAATATTTATGTAATTTCAACAGTCCACGAACAGCTTTGGAAAAAAATTATTTGACTTTCATTTTGAAAACTCCATTTTTCTAAAAAAAAAACAACAAAAACATAAATTCATAGTTTTCATGGAGAACAGTGGTGTAGTACAATGGAGCATATGGAAAGAACACTGAATTTGGAGTGAAAGGTATGAGTAGATGACATTTCCTTTTCCTTGTCTGATTCCTACTAATTGTAGAAAAAAATATACATTATATATGGTGTTCCTCCGTTCTTAACAGAAAACAATATTTGGAAATTCCTGTATAAAGCTAATTTGTCATGAGGAATATAAAACCCATTAATGGGATATCCAGGTCCCTATGGGAATTTTTTTTTTTTTTTAAACAGACACCATGTGGTGCAATCTGTTATAGTTTGCAAGGTGGGGGTGGGGAGGGGAGCTCTGCAGGGGCCAAGAATAAAGTCATCTCTGGGAGTTTTTGAGGTACTAACAAAAATGGGAAAAACGGTACAGCAGAGGCCTTGGAAATACCTTACCTTCTGCCCTCAATCGTAACCCAGCATGTACTGCATTTATGTTTTTCAAAAATTATTTTGCAAGTTACTCAATTTGGGGGAGAAAAAACCTGAACCTTTTCTGAGATGGTTAGATTGCCATTTGTTTTGTATTTTAATCTAACCTACTGGTGATTTAATTTACGGATCTCAAAGGAAGTGTACGCTCAAATATTTGAGGATGTTAATGTATCAACCACTGTGTAATTTTGGAATGTGCCTACTCGCTTGACACAATATTTTACCATCTAACAAATGTTTAGCCTTTTTTTCACTTGACTAAAGAGAAATAAGTTTCACATTGCTTCATTCACCTTCTTATGTGCATATGCTGGGAAAGATTGGATGTTAAAAAAAAAAAAAAAAAAAAAACTTCCTCATGTTCCTTTCTACTACATCTAAATCTGTTTACCAATTCAAAGCTGCTAAAAAAACCTGCATTCTCCTGCTAAATCAACTGGATGGCTAGAAACCAAACTGTAATGTAACAGAAAAAAATTATCAATTTATTTTCATGACAGAACATTCTTGAGAAGGTATAAAATTGTTCTGGTTGCTATGCCAGTTTTCTTTTTTCTTCCTTCCTCTGTCTTCTTTTTTCAAAGGCTTTCAGCTTTTAAGCCGATACTTTTTATAGTTATATAACAGTTCTAATATTTTGTGACATTTTGTATTGTGACACTATAGATGAAATTGTCATCGGACTGACACCCTGTGCTGTTTATTCCTTAATTACAACTGTTAACACTGTAGAGAAGTGTGCTAATCTGCCAGCACATATTATGAAAACAACATTATTGTTACCCACACCAACACCCACTCAACAGGATATTTCCAAGATGGTAGTTTAAAGGAACTTATCTGCACAATGGATATTTCAGTATAGTTGTTGTTGCTGCTGTGTATTTAGCTTTTCCTATTGTCTTCTTTTAAAAACATATACCAATTTGCAATTGAAAACATTTCACTGTCATACAGCATAGTCTAAGCAGAGGCTGCCTCTATAGTTAGAAAGTTACAATTTTTTTTTTTTTTTTTTTTTAGTGCTCAAGCAGTGGTGGACTGAGTTATCTCAGAGTTGTTTAGGGTTGTGACCCAAAGCTTTCTGACTGAAGTTTTTTTTCAGGAATAATGAAACTAGAAGAGAGGGGAAGGGGAAGTTTAAAGATGAAAAGACAAAAGCGGGATTGTTTGCATTCACAATGTTGGCAATCCTTACATAAAAAAGTCAAAAATCCAATAAGCATACCTAGCTCTAAAATGTATCCTTTTTCAAAACCATGTCTGAGCCTTTCTCAAACTGGCTACTTACTGACTTGCTTTATAGTTCAGTTCTTTCTGTCTCCAGAACTTTTAGAGGTTTGGTTATCTGTGAGGCACAAAATCCTATGAGTTTATTTTCTCATAAGTTATTTTACTAAAGCAGTTTAGGTGTCATTGTCTTTTCATTTGTTAAAAGAAACAATAACAGTAAAAAAAAAAAAAAATCACATTGATCCTATACCTTGTCCCCAAGATAAAATAACTAAAAATAAGGATTCTAAAAAGCTTAAAACCAGAACCAAGATACTTGCTTAGAGGAGAAACACTGGAAATTATTTTTTTAAACCACATACACACAACACTGACAATAATTAATAAAGAGTCCACTTTTTAATATTAGTGTTTAACACATTTATCGGTTTGGTAGAAAGCAAATTCGGGACCTTGAAATGGTAATAGGTGATAACATGAGGCTTGCCAGTAAATTCTCGTATCTTCACTGTCACTTAGGACATAATGGAGAATATGAACATATTTAATTCCTAAAGTTCCTGCAATTACCTACATACTCCTTAACACCCAGCTGTATTAAACAGGCTTTTCGAAATACCATGGGAAGAAGTTATCGCTATGCCTCATTTTGAATGGTATTTTCTGCTTCATTTTGATTTTCAACAGCAAAAGGATATGGTGCTTTTCCTAAAAGAAACCGTTCCCATTTGGGAATATATTCTTCTACTGATGCCCAGTAACGAGTCTGGAAAAAAAAATCCAAAAGTAAAAAAGCATATCAAGCAATTGAACTTGGCTCTTCATAATAGTCTAAATGTTTATTCACTTAAGTGTGTGTGTGCGTGTATACACACACACACACACACACACACATATACGTAGAATGCATTTCCTCTACAGAATATTTTATGTTAATTTTAGAAAAAAATCTGGCTACTTACTAGTGTTAATTTTCAAATTTCTCAGTAAAACCAGAGCCTGGCAGAATTACAGGTTTTAGAATTTTATTGTGATTTTACACGCCCTCTTGTGGCCAACTTCATGATTATTGCCAATAATATCATTTACAGTGATAAGATCATTACATATTTTTGTTTAATATTCCAAATCCCATACCAAATGATTACCCCATACTGAAATTATCACAATGAAATTATTAAACATAAATCATGCTTCAGAATTAAGATCAAAATATTTGACCTGAGATGAGATCAGGAACTGAAATATAGTATGTTATATATAGGAATCAGATACATTGGCCCCTAAATTGCGTAGGAAACATATATACACTATAATTTTTCCCCATTTTTATGACAGAATGTCAATATAATTTAACCATTTTTAATACAAATAGCTTGGAAGTTAAGATGCTATATTATTGGTCTGAGTGTAGAAGTCCATAGGCTTTAGAAGCTCATACAACATTGCTGTGTTGTGTCTTGCTTTGGTTTCTTGGATGAATGCCCTAAGGAGGTCAAAGAGAACTAAAGAGCCCAAAGCTCTGTGTCATAGGAGGGCAAGTGATATTAGATCATCACTATCAATATCATTTTTTGGAAATTCAGCCAATGAGTTAGCACTAGAAACACAGAAATATTCACTTCACGCATTAAATAGAACAGTTCTGAAAGTCAAAAATGGTGAGGGATTCTCTATGTCTATATATCTACGGGGTCTGAGAAACAGGCTGACATACTTAAAATAAAGGTCATTCTGCTGTGCAAGACTAGTTAAGAAAAATACCCTCTAAGGCCTGTGATGGGGAGTTTCCCTGACATTCGCAGCTGGAGTAACTCCTATTGTGTGGGCCCTATATATGCCAGAGTAAGGTACTGGAGAATCGAACAAAGAAAAAGATATGTCCAAGGCACAACTTTGTACCAGAGTTTTTCATATCCTTGATCGCTGCCTTGTTTTTTTACCCTAGATGACACAGAAAAATTAAGGGGAAATTTCTCAGCCTTTAATTTTGAGTCTATTCATCTCCATTGGGCAGAAAGCAAAAGTGTAAAGGTCATTAAAAATACAAAATAAAACTATTCTATATGTAGTAAATTCCCATTCATCACAAACATATTCATATACCAAATATAGTTTATTTTTTGCTAACCATCTTCCCAATCTGTTCTTGAACTGAACAAAATAAAACAGACAAAAGCTATACTATAGTGTATGATAATATGCGTTTAATTAGCTCTGGTTAAATTCTAACTTCTAACATCAGCAAGCAGCAAAAACATTTGGGTTAGGCATGTTGTCATCTTATGATTTAGTGCATATTGTCTGTTAAGGTTTAACGGAAGAGTTGTTTCTAAATGACAAGGTGAAAAGATCCCTATCTTTATGAAATTTGCAATTGCTAAACTTTTTTAAATCAAGATACTTCTCAGTTATCTACTATATATAAAGCACAGTACTGTGGATATAAAAAGATTCAACAGGTATATTTTCTTTAATTTATTGAATAAATATATCTGGAAAATACATATAACCATTGTTTAACTTACAGTGCACTATTGATAGATAGGGTCTCTCTTTTTACATTTGTTCCTTAAGATGCTCACCTCAAGAGAAACCACCTCAGGCCGTGGAATTGGGTGAATCCTGGTCTGCAGTGACTTTTCTGCTGCTTCTATATCCTGTAACAGACATCAGCATTTTATATTAAAGTGTATTTACATAAAACAAATGGCACCTGTACTAGCAATATCTGTATCCCAAATCTCTCACCTCAACTCTTCTCTGGATATAGTTTAAATGGATGAAGGCATACCACAGCAGGAGAACTGATCGTTGTTCAATTCATCCATTTCAGATAAAAAATACAGCGTTTCTTATTTTGAAATAGATGTGGGGGAGGTAGTACTTCTAGGTTCTGCCTTTTCACTTTTAGCTAGTAAATGTCAGTAATTCATACAAAAAGCGCTTCTTGTAATACTGCTCATCAGAGCATTAATTTAGTTCTAACATCACCAAAAAACAGCCAGAAGGATAAAATGATAAAATGTTCAGATACAAAAACAGTCAGATACTCAGACCCACCCTATGCTAATCTTAAAAGTGAAGAGTTCTAGTCTCTTCAGATGATGTAAATAGTATATCAATGGCACACATTTCATTTGTTTCAATATTCAGTTTTAAAATTTATATGTATGCAAGTATTCCATATATTTAATGGAAGCTCAATGAGGTACCTCATTACTTAGTGACAAGAGCCTTTTCATTATACTATCTAGATTTTTTTTAGGACTAGATTTCTAAGCTAATTTCAATGGCAAGTTTTATTGCTAGCTAGTATATCATTCAGCTGATAGCATTCAAGAACCAAGCTTTAATGCGTAGTTTAACTTGTAGATATGTATATTTTCTCTTCTAGTTGTAAAAACACCAAGGTAACTAAACTGAATTCATACCTTGGTAAAGATTCTTATCTTGATACATACATGAAGTGAATGCTCAGAAATGCAGGACTCTGCAAATTTTTAGTGAAACATTTGAGCACTGTTTAATAAACACTCCCAAAATCAGCACCTATGTTGTCTTGTGCCTACGTATGTCTGTCAAGCTCACAGAGGCCTTCGTCAAAGGCCATGTAAATTTTGTCTCTCTTTTGAGCTTAGTGAGTTGATAGAAAAGAGAAAGTTCTCTGATTCCAGTACAAGCATTGGAGCAATCTAAGTAGAGGGCTGTTGGACAGACGGAGAGAGATGGAAAAGGGCGTGGGAGTGGGGTGTGAAGAAGCCAATGCTGAACAGGAGAAAAGAGATAGCAGATGGTAGCGGCGGGAGCAAGGAATGGGTGTGAAATGTAAAAGGGAAAAACAGGAAATTCCCTAAAGGGACTCCCCAAAGTTGCACAACCATTAGTGCACCTGCTGTCTAGAGGAAGGTGATTTGAAGGAAAAAAGCCATCAATTTAGGGGAAAAAAGCTGATTTTTAGCATGTCTATCCCATACCAGAAGTTTACAGCTAAGAAACATGCTAAAGAGCTTTTGATGCTGATGCTATGACAGATACTGAAGCCTAATAATGTTTCTGTGATTACACTGAGATTTTATAAGGTCCTGGAAAAAATGTTTTTTACCTTTATAAATCAAATACACACAAATAAAATAATCACAGGTCCAATTATGGTCATTATTCCAAGAACAGTTATAAGATTATTGTTAGTGGTAGATCTCGGTGCCACTAGCGTCGTAGACAATATTATAAACATTTTTCTTGAAGACCAGAAAATAAGGATACTTAATATCTCTCTTATAGGAGAGAAGATTTATAAAAGGAAAAGCAGATACAAGTAGGAGAGATGTGGCCTGGTAAAGTAGGCCTATTGTTAGACACTTGACTGTTATCTCTGCAGCATTCTAACTACAAATTATCAGCCCTCTGAAACACTTCCTTCTTAGCTTAAGAGATCCTTGCTTTCTTAGATAATATGCTTACCTCTGATTCCTACTTTTCTTTCTCTTTAGCTGGCTTATTTTTCTCTCCTTGTTCCTAAGTGTGAGCTTTCTTAAGATCTGTGGCAGCTGTTCTTATATTTTTACCTTATCTCTCTCAAGACTGTGTCCTATCTAGCTTCAACTAACTTTTACTGTAGAGGCATGGCTAACCTTTCTTCCTAGACCTTATTTCTCAACCAAATGAAACTGAGCTCATCTTATTCCTACTGCATATAATAAACAATAGTGGGAATTCTCTTCACTCAGATACCTGCACTCTATACTCTATCTTTTCTTATACCTGCCATTTAAATTTTCAAAGGTCTATAAATTGTTCTTTCAGGATATCTCTCCTATCCTTTCCATTTAATTCCCAATGCTATGGGTTATTATTACACTTATTCATTCAACAAATACTTGAGAAGTACTTACTTTATGAGGCATGACTACAGTATGTCTTGTTTTACTTCCATCCATACCTAAGAGAGGATCAATTGATTTTTCTAAAGAACTACTTTGAATATGTCTTTCCCTAGACTTAAAAAATCATCAGTACCCACTACATAAAGGATGAAGTGTGAATTCCTTAGCCTGACTGAAAAAAAAAAAAAAACAAAAAAAACCAAAAAAAAACTTTGCAGTTTGATCCTAGCCTTCTGTAACAAGTTATACCCTAATACTTCCATATAAGAACCTTCCCTTACATTATATACTACCAGAGGGTAAGGGCTGTGTCCCATACAACCTTTATGCATCTAAGTATCTAACAAAGTGCAGGACATGTACTAGGCATTAAATATTCATTAAATGAATAAATAAGATGTCAAAGTTTCCTAATTATAAACCAAAACTTTTTTTAAAAAAGATACCCAAAGCAGGCAGAGGGAAAAGGAAAAATTGGGTGAAAAGGGAGGCGAGACTTACTTGACTATACATTGTTTCTTTGTCTTATAGACTTGCCACTAGAACATTTAAAATTTTATACAGACATAGGACAAATAAAAAAGCAATTCCCCCCAAATGGGAAACCAATGTGACAAATCTAATTATTATGTAGTTGGTGGTAAAACCACACAGAAAAGAGCTACATCAAGTATTCTTAGAACACAGTATTGACTGGACACCCCTAGTGGGGTATATCCTGGGGACAAAAAGAAATTGTAAAAGTTATCTTACTGAAAACCATTCTCAGTAATCATATTATTGGTGATAGCCATGTCTGTATCATAGGATAATTCTTTGGAAACAGATTTTTGGTTTTAGAAAAAGGTAGAGGCATAAGATCAGTGATTTTCAGTTAAATCTGCAATCGTGTAATTGAATTGGAGATATTGAGATGAGCTCTTGATATATTTATCATAAAAAAAAAAAACACCAAAAACCAAAAATCAAAAACCAAGCTGCAATAAACATTCCTAGTGCCCAGATTGAGGGCTCTAAATATATTTTCTGCCAAAATGAACCAGGGCTTCTTGGAGCAATGGCCAATTCCAGGTCTGAGCAGCAAAGGGACACAATGAGCCTGAAATAACTCATCACATCATAAAGAAAGGAAATTATCAAAGACTGTTAGGATCATGTGGAAGACATTCAGGAGTTAACTTGCAAAGGCTTCCACATAGTTAAAAATGGGACACATTGGGCATAAATAAGAATAAAAATTGCAGGAGATCGAAACATTTCAAATTCCAGATAAATTAAAAACAAAATACCACCTCATTCGTCACCATTAGAAGATGCCAGAGAACCAAACTATGATTTTGAAAGCTATAGAGAAAGTGTCCAGCAGTCATCACACCGTTTCCTACATGAACTGTACTTCAGTGTAACCAAATAAGTGATGAGGGGAAGATTGTTTTCATATAAACAGTCAGCAATTGAAAGAGAGGGAATAAAAGAATTTGAATATTCTTTTTGTAACCTCTGATGGATATATCTAGGCAATGATCATCAATGACTACCAACATTCCAAAATGAGAGACAGCCAGGGATTATGGAAGTGTTCTTTCCCTAAACAATGAACCTGAATCTGATCCAGCCTCTAGAACATCACTGCTCATATGATAGTCATTAGCCTCACGTGGCTACTGAACATTTAAAATGTGGCAAGTCCAAATTAAGATGTGCTGTAAGTGCAAAATATATATTGAATTTGGAAGGCTTAGTAAGAGAAAAGAATATAGGATATTTAATTACAAATTTTTGGTAGAAACATTTGAAATAATATTTTGTATATGCCTCATTACATAAAATGTTATTAAAATTAATTTCATCTGTTTCTTTTGACTTTGTTAAAAGTGGTTACTAGAAAACTTTAATTACATATGTGCTTACATTATATTTCTGTTGGACAGCCCAGCTCTAGATCAATTTATAGAAATTACAGAGAATACAGGAACATGAAAAATGATACCTCAGAGATGTAATTAGCAATATCCAAACTGGAAAATGCATAGGACAAATGACCTAATTCCTTTAACACATAAATTAAAAGTGGATGAAAAGGTCAGGGGTAGTACTTTTAAAGACTTATCAATCAATTCCAATGTTAGATTTTATTTGGATTTCGATCCAAACAAATGTAAACATGCCTACAGATTTATCAGAGAAATGAGAACTCTGATTGAATATTTGAGGAATTACTGGTAATTTCATATTGATAACAGTATTGTGATTTTGTTTAAAATAGTAAAATAATCCTTATTTAGTGATATACGCTGATAAAAATACAAATATACAGAAATAGCTATAGGTGAAACAATATAATTTCTGCAGAATACCTTCAAAATAATCTGAATGGTGGAGAAGGGGATGAGGTATACAGATGAAGCAAGATTGACCTTGTTTTGATAATTATTGAATCTGGGTAATAAGCACATGTAAGTACATTCTTCCATTTCTTCTTCTACATAGGCTTGAAACTCTTCATAACAACTAAAAAACAAGTTTCCAGTGTGGATGATGGAATAAATGTTACTCTATGGCAGAAGTGAGAAGGCTATATTTAAATGAGTCAATTCATGACTAGGAAAGGTAAAACATGAGCACAGAAAGTCAAGTGCTTAGGTCTCTTTCTCTCTCCACCCCTATACATGCCACTTCTCCAAAACTAGAAATCTAATACCTCACTATAAATATACAGAGTGAACCCAGCTATGGCCAGGCTGGTTCTAATCTTTTTATCTGCTAGAGGGACAGTTTCTAGGATAGGAAAAGTAAGATACTAAAGCACGAGATACAGCATCATTGGTACAAGAAGATGTAAGCATTTAGTAAATGTATTCTTCAAGGAATTAGAGGTGTGAAATGTAAGAAGGAAAGAGGAGAGATGGGGTCCTGTAAGTCACCGGCCATCCTGGGTGGTAGTTTGTTGAAGTCCCTGTTTAACTGCCAAGTGCCCCATGAAGTCTTCCAGAGCGTTCTTTAGTAGAAGCACTCACTATATCTCTAATTAGCTGTTGCACTTTCTCATTCTTTCTCACCCCAGAGTGTTTGTCCAGCTTACTCACGAGATGATGTTTACTTATAAAATTGCCTTCCTAGATAAAACTAAATTTTATGGTATGTATGTGGAGAGAGATGTCAGCTTACATTGTGGCAGTATTTACAGAAACAAAGTTCCTTCTCTTCCAAATCTATACCAATTCTGTTTATGTTCTTAAAAGGCAGATAAAGTCCATTTTACTAATATTAATGGAAAAATCACCCATCCTGGGTTTTCAGAGTTCACTATCTTTTATGGTAGTTACTGACTGAAGCCTATTCTTCATTACCTACATTCATATCTATTCATTTACTAATATGTTCAAATATTTGATGGAATTGGTCTCTTCCTCACTGCTCCTTTTTAAAATACATTCTTTGATATTTTATATTCCTGCTATTTTTCCAAAGGAATTTAGAGAAATTTTATTGAGTTCAAGGCAAATTCTGTTGGAACTTTTTTGACTCTAAAAATAATTTTGTGACAGCTGTTTTTTAATTTTATTCTTAACTTTTACAAAGACTCAATTCAGAGGCTATGTGTAACAGCTGACTTTTAAAAAACCGTAGTCTCCTGGCCAGGCACGGGGGATCATACCTGTAATCCCAGCACTTTGGGATGCTGAGGTAGGTGGATCATGAGGTCAGGAGTTCAAGACCAGCCTGGCCAAGATGGTGAAACCCTATCTCTACTAAAAATACAAAAATTAGCCAGGTGGCAGGTGCCTGTAATTCCAAATACTCGAGAGGCTGAGGCAGATAATGGCTTGAACCTGGGAGGGAGAGGTTGCAGTGAGCGAGATCATGACAGAACGAGACTCTGTCTCAAAAAAAACCAAACAAACAAAACAAAACCACACAAAATGACAGCAACAATAGTTTCCCTAGTCAGGATTAAGGCATATGTTTCCTTGTAAGTTTTCTTTTAAATCTTCCATTTTAGTGTAATAACTGTCTTTACACCTATCATGCAAACCCCTTAAGATCATTCCCAAGTATTTTAGAATTTTGTTGCTAATGTGAATGTGATTTCTTATATTTTCCAGTTCTATACATAAATACTCTTGATTTTTGTACCTTTTATCCATCAATTTTACTGAACTCATAATATATTGTACTACTTTTAGAATAATTTAGAACAAATCTGGTTAAAGTATATAACCATATCATTTCAAAATGCTAGTGTTACACTTTCCTTTTCAAAAGTAAAAGCTCATTCCTTTTTCAGTGTTTATTATATTGGTCAGAGATCTAAATAAGGTCAAACAATGGATGTTAATAGAGGTCATCCGTATTTTGTACTCTCATTATAGAAATGCTTTCACGTTTATTGGAAACATTTTAAAGTGTAGGCTGTACTTCTGAAGTACCTATCCTAGATATAACTTAACTTGTCCTGAACAAGTACTAACAGGATTAATTGCCCTATGGCTTCCTCATCTTTAAATCAAGGAATTAGCCCAGATCAGTGGTTTCTACAGTTCCTTAAAGCCACAGCTGGGCAGTCAAGGAAAAACGGAACAGGTGAGGCTTTGGCCCAACGCAGGTCCATTTCTATCTATTTTAACATCTTTGAAAGAAGTTTTAATGCTTAAAAAAAAAAAAATTTAGATGAGAATTGAATCTAATATACATAGTTTTTAAAAGTGTCTCCCAACTCAAAATTCTGCCATCAAGTCTTATTTATTTATTTATTTTTTCTGCAGATACACTCCCACACTGTCACTCAGACTACAAATACATTGACTGCAGTGCATGATCACAGCTCACTGTAACCTTGAACTCTTGGGCTCAAGGGATCCTCCAGCCACAGCCTCCCAAGCAGCTGGGACTACAGGCATGCACCACCATGTCCAGCTAATGTTTAACTTTTTTCAGAGACAGGGTTTCGCTGTGTTGCTCAGGCTGGTCCTGAAGTCCTGGGCTCAGGCGATCCTCCTGCCTTGGCCTCCCCAGGTGTAATCCAAACATTACAAGCATGAGCCACTGTGTCTGGCTAAATCTCATTTATTTTACTTTCACAATGGCTTCTATGGTAGAGCCACTAAAATTCTTTCCAAAGTTTACACATGAAGGAAAGTAAGATTTTAAAAACAATGACTCAAAGATTGCAAAAAAAAAAAAAAGAAAAGAAAGAAAGAAGAGACAGCATCTCTAGCAGCAAGCACTGTGTTTGTGATATAACAGGGGCTCAATAAATGTTTATTAAAGTACTGAAAGAAAATATACAAAAATGCATTCAATTTTAGATCAGTGGGATGATACGGAAGGTAGGCTATTTCATCTTCTTTACTCTTTACATTTTTTTTTACAGTAGGAATATATTACTTTGACAATCAGGGAGAAATACCATACCAAATTGAAGTTTTTCATAACTATGAAGCCAGGTTCATTATCTTCCTTATATATGTATGACTATGATTTCTTAGCTACCCTCCTGAACTCTATTCTCTCCATTTTTTTAGGCATTTAAGAAAGATTCATTTCCATCTAAACAGCAAATGACTCTTTCTTAAATACCCACTCATTTTTTTCTTATATAAGTTTATATTTTTCTTTTGCTCAGTCATTTTCAGTGCTGAATTATGTCTATATGTCAAGTCCCAACTTCTTTGGTCCCATAACACATATCCAACCTTGTTCCCTGTGAATTTCCAAGCTAGTTGTCATACTCCCAGGATCATTAACAGGGTCATTCAGTCTTCTGGTTTTTCTTTTGTAAGAATCCAACAGTATGCCTAGCCTTCTGCCTATTCAAACACAGGCTAAGCTTAGCTTCTTCTCTTGAGACCTTTTTGAATATTCCAGCTCTCAAAAGATTTTTTTTAATCTTATATCTGTAGTCCTGACTCTATTCCGTGTAATTTAATGTTTGATCACACAAAGTCTCTATGTTCTTGATATCAAGAACTCTGATTTATACTTATTTTCTTGTCCCTACTTTCTGCCCAGAACTAGCTCAATAGTAAGGACCCTCTAAGCATTCATCAAATACTTGCTCATTAAAAGGAAAATGCTTCAAAACCAAGTATCACATCACGTGCTGCAGGTAGGTAGCAATTAAGCCTTCTAATTTAGTTTTTCTAACTTTTCAGAGCAAATTCCAGATTATCCTATATATTTCCATTTAAAAATAAATATTGCTAACACCATTGGGCAAGTAAGACATATGGCAATATAGAATGCTTTGGTAGCACTATGGCTGTGACTTAAATTACTGTGGATCAAACTGCCAGAAGCTGAGAAGATAACTGAATTTTCCTCTTCCTTTATCCTCTAGTGAGGACAGAAGATAACTATATCATGCCTATCGATGAAAATATTTAACAATAAAAAACTGAAAACACTGCTTTATAACTTAAATAATATAGTCTTACTACCAAATGTTTTAGTCATAGGATCTCTTGGAAGCTTGAATGGAAGCAAACTTTAGGGTTTTAATTATGGATGAAGCCATACAATTCTGGAAGCAAAGTATAGCAAGCAGCCAAAAATGTTACACATATGATTCTACTCCAAATGGGCACATTGGCCAAATGGTGAGGCCCTGCACAATCATACACTTTGACCACTCCTCCATATCCATCAAGAGGGAGGTGGGAAATCTGTTATCATAGATATGAATTTTATGTGTCTGCCTACTCAGGCAAAATCAAATTGCTCTTGTTTTTATGATGTTTGATAGTTCTGAGTTGGCTTTCAATATGTTATAGGTATTTTATGGCCTTTCAGGATTTCCTTTCAAGTAAAAGAAGATGAAAGATGGAAAAGGTACATCTTCTATTTCTTAGTTTTTGCAAAAGGGAGACCTTACAATTCCTTCTGTGGTCACTGATTTTTCTAGTTGATTGAAAACATTTAGCTAAAGCAAAGTTCAATTTTTTTAATTGAAACAATGAGGATACATATGTTACTTATCTAACTGACATGGGTTTTTAAAAAAAGATGCTGCTTTAGTAATTCTACTTATTACTCAGAACCAATACATTATATAAATATTATAAAATTTACCTAAAAGGTTTTTGACAAGGTGGGATAAATCTCTATATTCAAGTCATGGAAACTTACCTTTAAAAGACTAAGATTCCTTTTAAAAGCAGTCTCAACTGTTTGGAACTGAGATGCCTTTTCTGTGTGTTGATTGCCCAATTTATTCTCCATTTGTTGAAGTAACATTAATCTTTGTGATACTCTAGAAAAAGAAATGAAGATTACATGGAGTTAAAAAATAAAAGCAAATACTTTACTGCTGGAGCAATATAAAAAGTTCATTTCTTAACTGCACCTCACTTCAAATCTAACCTAATTTGAAAGTCAATTACTATGTCAACTAATAAGACAGTGAAAAATCTGAGGTAGTTCAATAAGTCTTAAGTCAATCTGGTTAAAATCATTTTTATTTTCATTAACATATTCTTTATATATGCCATAAGTACATGCTTCTGTTTTTTTAGCCTCTCTGGTCTTTTGAAATTATTTTAGAATGTTGAAGATATGTTTTAATTTTTGGTGAAAATGCAAACTGTAATACATATCCTTTTGTACACATAGTTATATATACCTCCCGACACACATACATTGATATAACTTGCTATATGAAACCTTCTGCTTAACACTTCAGTACCCCTGAATCTCATGTTACACATTTAGAATTGTGCTAAACTTCCATATGTTTGAAGAAGCAATAAAAATATTTTTTCCCTCTTTTTCCAAGAGAAAGATGATGGTTTGATATATGAGTGAGAGGCTGTGTGTATATATGCATACTCACAACAAGGTAAAACAGTAATTGAAGAAAGATGTAAAAAAATTACAAGTAAATATCTTCAAACTACTTTGTTGTATATAATATACTTTGAAAGTTTCTTGCTGGTCAAATGTTTATTTTATACGTTTTGGTTCTTTTTAAATGATTAATAAGATAATATATAAGATGATTAAAAAATACATAAATTGGTATACATAACAGTCAAACTGTTTCCAAAATAGTTGTGGAGGTTCTCAAAAGACACTGTGTTTCATCAGGCTGTCTTAAAGGTAGAACTAAAATCCCAGGTCTGTGAATAGTCAGTTTTTTGGTAAGGAAAGTATCTTAGGAGACAAGAAAAGAAGGTCTGGTACTTAATTAAAGAAAAGGAAAACCTGAGAGCTCACAGACACAGTAGGAAAAGAGTGAATAATATCAAATGAAGAGCAGGACTGGCTATATGATTTGCAGGGTCCAGTCCAAAATGATTCAAGACAATGTCATGAGAGCATTAAACCAAATGCAGGACCTGTGACTGTATATAAGTCATAATACCAACGAAGCCAGCCCTGGGTAAGAAGTTTAGAGAAGGCCATTAAATACCAATGTGGAGCCTGGAAAGGGTGGAAGGAGGAGCAAATTTATCTAGATATTAGTTACAAAGAGAAAAAAATACATAGAACATACCTTTTAATCTTGCTTATTCATAAGAGACAATGAAATTCCCTAACATTAAAACCTCTTAAGTGTCAGAAAATTAAAATGACATGCTTTCAAACTTTTAAGTCATCTCTGTATACAATATTTCACTAACAAAGCCAGTCCAATTTCTATATTCGAATCATCCTTTTAAAAAACTTACATTTCTTCATGTCTTTTAGAAAGGCGAATTTCTTGAGCAAACAAGGAAGTCATCCTTAATCAAAGCTGTTATAAAGAATAAAAACATTTAAAGTTACTTCTACCACATGTCTTCAGCTTTGCAACATTTGATTATTTTAGTACCTTAATCCATTGGTTCTCTCAGAAGGGAAAATAAAACTAAGATGTAATAATGTATAGAATGAAAGAATGGAATTAAACACATTTTTATTCAGCATGCAGTTTTCCATATGCCAGCTACATCTAAGAACACCACAAATTAGGTAAATTCAATATATTTCATATTGTCTCTTCTTTTCTTTCTAGACTCTAACCTTAATCAGAATTAAAAACAAACAAGCAGCTGGTACTAAGACTAGTAAACGTTTTATTGCATCAACAGAAAAAAATCCACTCTGTAAAATTCAACACAGGAACACCATCCCTTATGCATGTGCAAACACACATAGACAGAAAGGCAGGCAAACAAGTATGAGAACCAACTGGAAATTCAAGGTCTTTCCTTTATTGGAAGAGTGCCCAGTTCTACCATCTCTCTTCTAAATGGGAAAGTACTTCTCATGTGTAACCGTGAGGAAAAGCACAACTAGATACCTTCCCGTTACCCTGGCTGCTCAGCACTCTTTATTTGTGGAGCGTAGGAAAGCCCATTTTCATGGTACATTTAACACCACAAGCAAGCTTACCTTGGCTAACTGGACCGATACAGACAGAGGTCTAGTGAAATGCGCTGAAGGCCTCCAACTTGCAGGCAAATCATCTGGTTGGGCTTAAAGGCTGAAGGTGCTTGCCCTAAGGGAGAAAAAGAGGAATAAAATTCTTTCCTGAAACGAAGCTTTCCTAAATTTTATGAAATTAAACATCTGTGCACTCTATAATGATTGTCTAAAGACTGACACACCGCCTAAGTGTCCAGCGCTGCTAGAAAGCCCATGGCTATTGAGTGTAGGGCGCTGAGCCCGGCCAAGGAAAACGGAAACACCGCCCTGCCCTCATCAGGTTTTCTCCTCTAGGCGTGGCAGCCTTTCCTTCAGCACCGCGGACAGCAATCGCTCACAGGCCCGCCCTCCAGGGTCTAATCACAGATACTTTCCGCTAACATCACCGCAGGCCAATCGTCGTCGCCTTCCTCTCGGTTTCCTTTTGCTACGAGGCCGCAGCGCCAAGGGAATTCCGGAAAGTCGGTTCATGGTAACTTTTCTGTGAGGCCCGCCATCAGCACTTTAGACAAAACCCAAGTCAAATTCTCCCCTTGGAACCGAAGATCCGCACCTTCTTAGAGTCATCTGCCCTCCAGCCGCCCCAACTCCCGCTTATACCCGAAGGACTCAGGAGCCTTCCTCATCAGCCTGGCTCTTTACGTTAACAACATCCTCCCAAGAGGCCCTGCAGGCCCCTGCACGGCCGTCGGGCAGTCAGGGCACCCACCCGAGGTCCGACTCCACTCACCGAGCCCGCCTCTGAGCCCTTCCGGGAAGGCACCAGCTACTGCGCCGACGCCGGGGCCTCAGCGCAGGCCTGGGCGTGGTCACGCTACCATATCGGCGCACGCGCGGCGCGCGGTGACGTCACCGCATCTTTATAAAGGGCCGCCAAAAGTTTCCTAACGTGTAAACGCGAAAGTTTCCTGAGGTGTAGCTGCAACCAGAAGGTGGGCATGTGGTACGCGGCGGGCGGGACGGGACGTTGGCTTGAAAGGCCTTTATGACGCCTAGGGAAAGGCCGTCTGGTAGTAGCTCAATTTCAAGACCTTTTAAAATTTAAACCTTTATAAAGGTTATTCTGCTGGTAAACGCTTCAGAGAGTGAAGCTGGTTTCTTTGAAGCTGGAATGTCCCAGCAGAATGTAGAAGTGTGAAAAACTCGACAGAGTAGTCCAGAGTTGGTGGAATTTGCAGTCAGTCGGTTTATTCAGTGAATGTCTATGGAGCAGCTTCGAGGTGCTTTGTCCTGGGCGTCTCAGACTGAGCAGAACAGCAAGAAGTCCCTGCCCGCTCACAGTTCGTAGCCTGCGTGGTGACAGTAATACTGCTCAATCACGTCTTGAGGGGTTTCTCAGTGTCAGTCGCCATATTTGCGTGGGTTATCTGATTGAGTCTCCGCAACGCCCTGTAAAATGGGTACCATTAGCTTTATTTGACAGCCAAGGAGACAAGCCTGTCTTTGTAGTATCGGTGCTGTAAAGTGCATTTCTTAAACATTTTTATTCCTTGAAATAACTGAAGTACGCGGTAGTGTCAGTCCTCTAGTTTACAGCGGAAGAAACAGGTTCAAGAGAGGTAAAAGTGTTTTCTTTATGAAGGTTACTCTGCTGGTAAAAGACAAAGAGCTAGGACTCCAACCCAAAGTGTATTTTTAATTTCTTCTCCCAGAATGTCTACATAAAACTTAGCTCTTGCTTCAGGACTTCTGCACTTAATGTTTCCTTTGCTTTGAAAACCGCTTCTTCAGACACTTAGATATATTCAATTCCTTGTATCTTTCAATCTGCTTCCTCACAGGACCATTCCTTCAGTCCCCAACATAAGATCCCCACCTGCTGGCTCCCTATCCTCCTGTTTTTTTTCCACAACACTGTAACATTGCATATATTATGTAATCACTCGTTTATTTGTTTACCAGTGCACCCACCACTAGAATTTGAACATTGTAAGGACAGATATTTTTGTCTCTGCTTTGCTGCTGTATCCTCAGCAACTGGAACTACCTGACATGTAGGTAGCTGATCAGTAAATATTTTTGAATGAATGAATAAAATAATTCCTCCCATTCACATTCATCATAATTTCAAAGCACTCTACCTTCACTTTATAAGAACTTTGATTTTGCTGTTCCTTACCCTTACCACTTAGTAAAGATGAAAAGTAGACCCTTGAGTGGTCCTGTGTTCTAGGAATGAAGTAGAGCTTTTGCATGTTTACAAGAAATGCTTGTTTATTTTTTATGTACTTTGAAAATAAGGATTTTTCTTAAGTTGGTAATGGGTTGTGTGAAAATAATAACCGCGAGCTCGTTACAGCATTTGTATGTTGCTTGACAAACTGCTGACCTCACTGCTTTGTATAAGTTTGCATAGTAACACAGTTGGGACAAATCCAGCTCTTTCAACTTTGAGCCCAACTTTTTTAGGTTACTGTCCGCCTTAGCTGTGAACAAAGGAATACCTTGGGAGTTTTCTTGCAGTTTTTAGAACAGTAATCAGGACTATATCACAGACACTTGGAGGTTATCTAGATAGACTTTGGTAATTTATTTTATAGCATCCAATAAAAGTGCTTACTTTCTATTTAAAGATCTGCTGCAATAGCTGCCCTTCTCATGATATTGCCCACAGCTGTTCCTTTCTTTGAGTCACCAAGCTGGTGAGGAAGAATCTCTGGCAACAGTGTTTCTATTAATATATAGCTTCTGTACTTATCAGATAAGTTTGGGTACTTTCTGGAGTGAGGTATTCATAGCCTGCCATGAAAATTATTGCAACCTGCTAAGTAACAGCTGACCCATAATGTGACAATCCGCAAAGGTGTTGTGAATTTAATGTTTCCTATCCCCTGGACTAGTTCTATGCACCAGCATGCTATGATTATCTCCTCAGCCTCATATAATCTTCTCTAATTGCCCCCTTAGCTCATTATTTAGAAAACATTGTATCATTTAGTCATACATTCTATAAAGATGTATGTATTAAACATCTGTAAAATGGAATCTGCCCTTAAGAGCCTAGAATCTGGATGGGCTTTCAAGGTAAACACAAAAAACTGAAAGATGATGGCTGAAAACATAAAGATGGTTTTTATGGAATGTTTATTCTGTACCAGGCACTTTCCATGAATTACCTTATTCTCATAAAAACCCTGTGAGCAAGGGTGCCGCCTCATTTTTATAGCTGAGAAAATTGAGGCTTAGAGAAATGATTTACTTAAGATCACACTGCTAATTAATGAACTCCAAGCCATTTGATGTTTGTATTCTAAGTAATTCTGTACGTTATCTTGAGATTATATCATTAAAAAGTATGCCGATTATGAGAATGATAGAGAAAAAAGGAGAGAGCACTATGAACCAGAATAGTGTCGACAGCATTTTGAAAGACCGAGGTGGACCTTGAAAAATGGGCTGATTTGGAAGTCTGTTTTTGTGATTGGGCATATCAGGTGGCAGGACAGTGTGGTGTGGAGTGTTCTGAGGGAAGCAGCTTGCATAGAAATGTGTGCATGAGAGTACATCTGGTGTGAGGCCTAGTGGAAAGGAAGCATTGGGAAGAATGTTTTCTCCTCATTTTTCTTAATTTTGAAGATTTCATTTCATTTAATAACTGCGAGCTCGTTTATAGCATTTGTATGTTGCTTGACAAACTGCTGACCTCCCTGCTTTGTATAAGTTTGCGTAGTAACACAGTTGGGACAAATCCAGCCCTTTCGACTTTGAGCCCTTTTCATTTCTGGTGCCAAATAATTTGAAAATGGAGCTTTGATAGTAATAAAGAGACAAAATTATTGGAGGAGGTAAGACTGGTGAGTACAGAATAGAAATGAAGACAGAAAAAGGAAGGCTTGAGGATGGAAAGGAAAGACGAGCTTTAAAGAGTAAGACATAAATAATTGCAGAATCTTTGACTATTTCAAATACTCCAAGTTATTAACCAGTAAATTCTGTTATAGTTTATATAAAGGCCATCTTTATAGACCCCCTTTGAGTTTACTCTGGGTAGACAAGTACTAAAAAAATAGCTCGCGACTGACATAGCTTTTCTTCCTATTTCAGGAAATCTGAGATGAAATTTGGTAAAGTGGGTCCAATTGTCTGTGTTCTTTTCTTCGAAATAATCAGAAATTTACCTTGTTTTATAATTGTAGTCTGTTGACTTTATTATGGCAAAATAGTCTATACTCAAAATATATCTGAAATGCTTCAAATTGGCCCTTGCTGGATATTGAGTAGAGAGAATTTATAAGCAGATTTTTCTTTAGAGGTTTTGTTAGTGAACCAGGTATCAATTTAGGTTCAATCAGATAAAATGCTACAGTAGAGAAATCATTCTCACAGTTGATGCTTATATTCCAGACATTCTTGGCTGAGATAACAAGGTCTTGCTGATAAAACTATGCTCAATCCTAGAGATTGCCAGTGAGACTTTGCATATGACTTCCTTGGAAAAACAAAAACCGTGGTAGTTGTAAAATGCACTTGAGAAAATATTAGAAATTTTAAATTGAAAGCACACATGATGATTCTTAGGAAATCATTTGTTGTATTACAGTGGGAGAGGGAAAGCTTCCTTTCTCTTTGAAGGTTTGTGGAAATGACTGACAAACAGATTAATAAGAGAAAAAGGCATATGATATGCTTTGGCCCTGTGTCCATACAATTTTCTTTCTAAATTACCCAGTCTTGGGTATGTCTTTATTAGCAGTGTAAGAATGGACTGATAGAGCATACAAATCTCACCTTGAATTGTAATAATCCCCATGTGTCAAGGGTAGGACCAAGTAGAGATAATTGAATCATGGGAGTGGTTTCCCCCATAGTGTCCTCCTGATAGTAAGTTCTCTAGAGAGAGATCTGATGGTTTTGTAAGGGGTTTCCCCCTTGGCTTGGGCACTCATTCTCTCTTCTGACACCCTGTGAAGAGATGTCTTCCATCTTGACTGTAAGTTTCCTGAGGCCTCCCCAGCCATGTAGAACTGTGAGTCGATTAAACCTGTTTTCTTTCTAAATTACCCAGTCTTGGGTATGTCTTTATTAGCAGTGTAAGAATGGACTGATAGAGCATACAAATCTACTTAATGTGCATAAACACAGGAACCATATAAAATATGAGACTCAAAGAGTGGCCAGATGGCTGAGGCTTAAATACTGAGGTGGGAGAGGGAAATGGTCTAAGGGGTGCTGTAGGCAGTTTTTAGAGAAATGATAAATGATGAGGGAAGATGAATGGGTTCGAGAGATAGAAATATTAGCTTGTAAACAATTCGCTTTGTAATTTGAATGAGCCCAAGGGGCAAAACAAAATCACTTCAGAGGTGATTACATGCCTCAATCTTCTTTCCTAGTAATAAAATTTAAAGGAGGAGATGGAAGGCAATTATGTTATCTTTGGTGGGCCAGGTCTTAAGGCCTACCAAAAGAAATATTAGTTAAATTTCACCCTGTAATGTGGATGGGGAGAAGGGAAGACAGGAGAGATGAGAAAGTCCTTGATTCAGGGATTATAGGTGTCCTGTGATTTACAGCTATAATCCTAGCACTTTGGGAGGCTGAAGTAGGAGGATTGCTTGAGGCCAGGAGTTCAAACCAGCCTGGGTCACAAAGCAAAACCCTGTCTCAAAAGATTAAAAAAAAAAAAAAAAGAAGAAAGTCCTTGATTCTGAGGTAACTTCTAAGGCCTATTCTGTTATGGTTCAAAGTGTTCAGCATGCCATAACACCATACATTTTGCAGTGTTGTGTTCTAAGCCCCAACAGTATGCAACAGCATACATAGTAAATGTGTATGCACATGTTCCTTAATGTTTGGTTAGGTTACATCCTGATAAACCTATTGTAAGTCAAAAATATCCTAAGCCAAAAGTGGATTTAATACCCTATAAACCTATTGTAAAGTCAATAAATGATAACTCAAACTGTTGTAAGACAGGGACCATCTGTGCTTT